ATTTATTGAGGATAGCTGTGGATTAAAATTAAAATGTATATCCATAACCAAGTAAAATGACCCTCTCTACTGTGCGTATTTTAAAGGTTTAGGAAGATAGATCTTCAAACTCCCGGATCAGTGACCAGTGATCAGCCCGCAAACATCCAACATGTGGCCTGTAAATATTAATTTTATTGTGTTGTGTATTGTAAGTTGGGGGGGGGGGGGGGACATTGGGGGGGTGACCTCATGGTGAGCCTAAAATGCACATTCTGACCTTGTTCTTTTGAGGAAAGCATGCTAACCAATGCTACACTACATCGGCCAGTCGTGAGGAGCAGGTTTCGTGAGAGTCACAGATTTAATTTAACACACCAAACCGTGGGATTTAACAGCACTTGTGGCTTCATGCCAATGAAATGAGTTTTCACCTTCTTTAAAGCAACACTGAGCAACACTTTATAGAACATGGCACAAGAGAACACAGAGAACCTTTTCATGACCTCTCAGCCACACGGACGGTGTGATTTACTGCCAGGCACTAATAAAAAACAAACTGTCCTACAAACAGAAGCCTGAAATATTTATGTAAGAGGAAAAAACAATTTAATAAAACAAAAAAGTCGTTGTTATTCTTAGTTTCTCTTAAATAAAAAAAAGTCAACAATTGTTCTACTCATTATCCTAACAAAAATCTCATTCAAAATATAACTGCTCTTCAGAGGATTTGAGTTGTTGATATAAGCATGTTTGTGTGTGTGTGTGTGTGTCTGGCAGCTTGCATTAACAAATGTTTACTCAGTCTGAATTGCGATTACCTAATAAAATGGAGAGATGGTCTGCGGAGTGTTGGTTCACCAAGGGCTTCACCCGAAGCGACCACCTACGTATGAGGAGGTGCTGGAGGAAACGCATCACCTCCTCAATGACCATTTCAAAACAGTGCTTCCAGCCACATTACTGCATGAGTTACAGTCACGGTGGGTGCCATGGTGTGAGGGATACCACCCGTTCTCTCTTTTTTTTTCATGCACATGTGCATGAGAAACGACACACTTAAAATATCACAATTAGACCGTGGATTGCATTACATGAGGATGCGGTTCGTTCTGCATCGTCCCTCATCCAGTTCTTGTAAAATGGGCCCTCTGCTGAGCGTGGGGTTTTAATGCAAAGCTTGTGCATGGAACAAATGTAATCAAAACCTTTTTTTTTACTGAATTTGATTTGAAGAAAGGCACATCAAAATCACAGCTAGAGGGTGTTTCTCTAACATTGTTCAAAATTTCTCTGGGAACTAAACTCATCGATGTTTCAGGTTATATTCACGCTCACACATGGCAACGAATTCACAGATGAAAACCAGCATCTGTCTCCAGTGGTCCGGCACATGACCTTGCCGTCTATATCTAGTTGACCTGGCTAGTTTTGAGGGTTTCATGTTTCAGTGAGACATTTTCTCCTCTGTGAGCTGGACGCTGCTTCAGATGCTTTAATTACATTTCCCTTCCCAAGTTCACAGGGGTGGAGTTTTAGCATCCTCGCAGCAGAGGGAGAGAGCGAAAAGTATAGGACAAACCAGAGGCAGGCAGGAAAGAAAAGCCACTTTGAAGTGAGCTGCCAATGAGATTTATGAATCAGCCTGCTCCACATCACAAAGAGAAACACAAACAGGCTCCCAGAGACACAAGGCAGGCATGGAGACGTAGAAGACAGACAAGGATGGATGAAGAAAGACGAAGGATAAAACAGACATCAAAAAGAGATTATTAGTAATTTGTATTTTTTCTCCCACAACGGTAATGAATAAAATCTCCAGCAGATCAACCCATCCTGTCCAGCTCTATCTTAACTCTTGCTTCTTCTTCTTCTTCCTTCCTCCTCTTTTCCTTGCAGCTACGTGTGTAGCACTTCCACACCCCTCCTTAAATGTTTTCCCCACCACTCCTCTTCCTTCATTCCCAGAACTCCCAACAACATCATCTAACATGTCCAGAAACCTCCGACAATTACACTTTTTTCTTTCTTTACTTTGGATCTCTAACTTGAAGAAGAAGGGAGGAAAGCTGTCTGACAGGGCCGTCCACACACACTACTAAATCTGCCAGAGTGAGACGTTGGCACTGACAAAAAACAACACAAAGGACTACCGAATCGTGACCAAACCCATGCAACACTTTATCTGCAAAGGAAAACAAAGGA